AAAATTATTATGCAGTGAGAACACAATAAACCCATCGTTTCAAACTTTCTGCAGGAGCATTGAATGTTACCATTATGTGCATCAAAATCAACAACCCATAGTTTAGAGTGATCCTTTTTCTCTGTGTAATAGACAAAACTTTTTGAAGAATTACTAGACTCAAGCTCTACACTCATTACACCAACACCTTGTAAAAATTCTTGTTCAAAAAATAAATATATTTTCTTCGAATAAAATTGAGCAGCTTGCTTTAATATTGAGCAGTTTTTTATTACATGTTCTATTTCAGACTAGCTGCATCTATAATCCTCATCCTGTTCATTCCGGCGCCAATTCCTCATCACCTTCTCTAAACCCAGAAAGTAATCAATTATAGAACTTGTGGGCTTAGAAATGCCATGACACACATTATTAGTAGACTCGCTACGTTGTGTGGATATAATGTCCATGCTAAAACAATCCTTATTGAAGGCTATTGACCACTTATTACTTATCCTATAAAGATCCTGCAACCAAACATGATCTTGGAGGTTCCCTTGTATGATCAATTCAGCCCATGCATTTTCAAACTCCTCCTCAGAGTCACATCTGCTCAAACACTTATTGAAGAGGCCTTTGACTTTGTTGTTGGTATTGTAGCATGATACTTTTGATGGAGCCTTCTTACGGATATGCCATTGGCACAATCTATGACGACTTTGAGGTAGTGCAACTTCTATGGCCATAGCTATTGCCTGGTCTTGATCTGTATATATTGTTTTTGGTTGTTTATCACCCATCATTCGAACAAAAGTTATAAACACCCACGTAAATGATTCAATTGTCTCTTCAGACAAGAAGGCCACCCAAAGCAAAATGTTTTGCCAATACTTGTTAACCCCAACAAATGGTGCACATACCAAATTATACTTATTCAGCCTATAACTTGTATAAAAAATTACCACATCACCAAAGCAGTCATAATCTATTTTATCAATCCCATCAACCCAAAAAAAATTTAACAATCTATCAAATTCATCATTCTGGACATCCCAAGAGAACATGTTATCTTTAAGTTGACGCTCTTTAAATAACTCAATCAAAGTATTAGTGTCCCCAAGTTCAATCTTTGCTCTTTTTATTCTTTGAAGAAAGTTGTACGCATCCCTCCTTGTGAATCCAATATTTTCGACACCTCCAACTTCATCAGCAAGGAAGGAAAATGCATCAGTGGTTCTTATCCTAGTATCTGTCATTGCTTTAAGAACAGAAGCTTTTTCATCACACATATTCCTGCATGATCTAAGAAGATGCCGGTCTTCTGGCCTAGGCAAATCATGATTGTGATTTTCGATAAATTTTTTCACCTTCCAATATCCACCTTCATCCACTGTAAACCTAATCATAGCTGGACAACCAGTTCGAGTATCTGATCTTCGATATTTCCTTTGGATATTAAGATCAGACAACTTCTTCAAACCAGCTTTTGAACAAACAAAGTCCTTGGATTTTAAATTTCTAGAATTAGGCCAGTAACTGTGATGATCCTTACGAACACTAAAACCAAGATTATATCCATACTTACGATAAGCCTCATATGCCTCTTTCTCATTAACATAAACATCATGATAAATAAGCAATAAATGAATTATCCAATACGCAACCAATAAGCAGTAATTAAGCAAAGCAATACCCAACCAATACACAACCAATACGCAATAAAATCACAACATATGCGCAATTAATACGCAATGGATACCAATTCAATACGCACATAATACTCAATGTATATCAAACCGATAAGCAATACATACGCAACAAAGCTTTGCAATAAGAAAATCGAACTGCATATTCGTTATTGTACCCTAGTTCAACAATACTATAAAAGAAGGGAACATCGAGTCTTGCTTCTAAAATCAATTACAATTTAACATTATGTACATTGTTGATAATAATTACATCAAGAAGGGAACATCTATAATATTTGTACCCTAAATAATTACATCAAAAAAATGACTATGTAAAGAAATTTGATTGCAATACTGCTATAAAGAAAACTTGGAAGAAGGCGAAGTTTATCGATAAGCTGAACTTTTCGTCTTGTATCACTGGTTCTACATGTTCTGCTTCATGTGCACTTGTTTCCTGGACGTCGACATTCTCCAGGTTATCGGCTTCCTCCGAGATCTGCGAAAATATTGTCTGCTCATAAAAACCTGCATCCTCCTCCAGATCCAGATCAATCTCCATCTTCATCGGCATTTTTTCTGCGAAAATTTTGACTGCTCTGCAAAAATTTGAACTCTAAGCATTATATGTTGCAGTGATTCGCGCCTTAAATTCTGAAAAAATAAAAGCCAAACTAAATTTAACGTTATCTCCCTGCAAGTCAATTAACTTTTTAACCCTCTACAGCAGCCGAACAATGATCGGATTCCGCACAGAATAATTTCTCGTTGATTCGCAGGAGGTTTACAGATTGCGCTTCGCGACTTCGGTTCCTTCGTGGCTGTTCGACTTCGCTCCTTCGGCTTCGTTGATTCGCAGGAGGTGTACAGATTGCGCGCGTCGCTACTTCGGTTCCTTCGTGCCTGTTCGACTTAGCTCCTTCGGCTTGGTTGATTCGCCGGAGGTGTACAGATTGCGCGCGTCGCTACTTCGGTTCCTTCGTGGCTGTTCGACTTCGCTCCTTCGAAGACTTTCCCTTCTTGTCGGATTGGAAGTTAGGGCATTTTGATCGGAAGCAAGAACAGGAGCTCGCTGGCTGTGAAGTTAACTTTCTCGCTTTCGCGGGCTTCTAATGTTAAATCCCGTTAAATCCACCGAACCGAGGGATTTAGCTTAAATCCTGCTGTCAAACAGTCCCTACCCCCTTCTCTCTCTCTCTCTCTCTCTCTCTCTCTCTCTCTCTCTCTCTCTCTCTCTCAATACGCCCCACCCCACGCTCGAATCAAATCACCGAAGAGATGATAAAGAGGCGATTTTACAAGATAGAACACGGAGACAATAGCGGTTCTTCTGAATCCTCGTCTTCCGATGACTCTGACTCTTTTACAGAAGTAGAAGCAGAGGAAGATCACGAAGTAGAAGAGGAAGAGCAAGAAGAAAATGAGCGAGGAAGGGGAAATGATAACAATACTCTGCGCTGCCCTTCTCCTGGTTCGTTTTCTGATTTACCCTTATTTTGGTTTCCTTTTTTTTTATCAACACCAGATGGATCTTCGACACTTTAAATGGTTTTGATCTGTTATCAGATGCGAAGGAAAAAAAGGGCTTTTTCTTCTGGCATTGCGAAAAAGGGATTCTTCATTTAAAGAGTTTTGCGTTCATACAGTTAAATTAGTGTGCCCTTTGCAATGATATGTGATATCCTTGGAATCGGGTCTTGTTAGTAGTTTTAGGGCGGGCTTATAATAAGAGAAATCAAATCTTTATGGCATGATGAGTACAAGGAAAGTGGGAGCAAAACGGAAGGAAAGGGTTTACAGTAGGAGTGAAAGAGGCCGAGCTGGCTTTGTAGGTGGATACTCAGGCTTCTACGGATGATGACTGGTGCAAGTACATACTCAAATTAGGCTCTAGGATTCATTGACTCTCTTAGATTAGGATTTTGTGGCCATGGAGCAATTTACACTTTCCCTTGTGACCTGGGTGGTTTATTTATTATGTTATGCTATGAGAAGCTAGCTAGAGATTTCGAGATATTCGTCAAGAATTATATCCATTGATATTCGGATGCCAGCTCTATGTCATAGCCAACTACTTTGCCATTTATTGATCAAAGCCACAACTTGTTGGAGCGATCAATCATTATTGGCTCGTACATTTGAGCCATAAATATTAGGTAATGCTTTTGCAACCACGATGCAACGCGCATCTCTTTGGAAGGACCAACACATAATGAATTATGTTGCATTGAGGACTTGTCTAATTTAATTATAGCTAGGGCTACAAACGAATCAAGCCGAGCCAAGTATGTGCGTGTTCATGTTTTGAGTTCGTTTATTATCAGCTTGCTCAAGTTCGGTTTGAGTTTGATTTGAGCTTTTGTGTTTGTGTTCAAACTTGGTTCATTTAAATTAATGGGTGTTCATATTCGGTTTATGCTTAGTTCATATTCGATTCATTTCATGCTTATCAAGCTTTAAATAAACGAGCCTTATCAAAATATACTTCTAGATGTACATTAACTTAACAAACGAGCTTTGTCGAGCCTTCTAACAAATAATTACATTGAACCTGTTAGTGATTATATCTAGCGAAGTTTTCTAAACTATCAAACAAGCTCGTTCACGAATATAACTAATTAGTATTCTTGAGCTACCAAATGAATAAAAATAAATTATTAAATGATTTTAGACATGATTAGTAAAAATAAATTATTAAATTATTAAATTTTATAATATGTATTTTTTAACTCTAATATAGTTCTAATCGAGCTTCTTTACGAGCTTGTTCACAAGTATTAAACGATACTGTTCATGAACATAAATGAACCGAACGCCAAGTTGTTCAAGCTCGTTTATATAGCTATCAAGTATTTATCAAAAGTGTTCAAGCTTGTTCGTTTATCTTATCAAATGAATATGAACGAGCTTTTATCGAGTCGAGCCACGAGTAGCTCGTCAAACGCTCGGTTCATTTGCAAACCTAATTATAACAGTTTGCATGCACTAAGGATATATTATTGTCTATTTATTATATCACTATTGTGCTTTGCAAATCACCTTTAGGATAGATTAATCATCACAATAGAGTATCTCCGATGCCCTGAAACTTGGTCGAGGATAAAGAGTTGTATGGTTAGGGAAATTGTCTTTAGGGGCCTTTTGATGGTGTGAACAATCAAGTTGTTGGATTTGCTCGGTCGAGTAGAGAAGGGCAGCGAAGTTGTTTGGGAGTTCATAAAGAAAAGGGGAATCTTTAGCCTAAGCTATTAAGAAGTTAAACTTGATACACTGTTGAACACCATGAAGAGAAGATAAATGGTTAGAGAGCATGAGATTTATAGTAGTCGGACAAGATTGCTTGCATCTATTTTGGGGACTTCCCACTCAAAATGCACTAAAAAGCAATGAATTACAATATTTCTTGAAAGAAAATGGATAGAAAGAAAAAAAAAAAGCCTTAATTTTAGTTTATAATTGAGTTCATTTAGAGTTTGGCCTTTGCCAAGCTTCTTATAGGTCAGGGGGGAATAACATAAATTAAGGTTTCAAGTAGTTTATGAGCTTACGAGGCCTCTTATAGTTGCATGGTGGGATTATATACTCTTGATTTTGCATGATCGGAGGATTGCAAGAGGCCAGACATTGTGAGAGGAGTACCACGTGTAGACGAGCAGTCAACACATGGTGTATTTGATGCAAGAAGTTTATTTGCAAGCTAGAATATCTAGTTTTGGAGGAGACCTATTGGAATCATTACTTAAAATGGAGATTTTTGTTGGTTGTGAGTGATAATGACCTGTAGACAATTTTTTAAGGGTTTAAGAGGATTTATATTTGTGGAACAATTATCTGCACGGATTAGGTTGATGAATGCTTCGAGCATGCTGCTACCATAAGAACATGAGAAGTGTTTATATCATTTTTTAGGGGTTGCAGAGTGGTGGTGTGACTCTACCCTTAGAAGTATTGTAACACTTAGAAGAATGCATTGGAGTTTTGTGTTTGAGGTAACCAAAGGGTTCTCACCATTAGTTCTACATGTTGCTGAATAGTTTTTTTGTTAAGACTATTCAACTAATAGTCTGATCACTCAGCCACATAGTTGGGTCATTTTCTTACTCAATAGTATTATGTGATTGGTTGAGACCGTTCCATAAAGTAGGATTTGTATCAAATAAAAAATGTGCATGATTATCATGGATGCGACTGGAGCTTCATAAGATTTTTGAAATATGACAACCACCTACTTCACCTTTAAGCTTTCAACAATAAAAAGGGGAGGGGAAAGGTGCTTGTTTGCCACTTTTATATAATAAGAGTTCAAATTTCCAGACTAGTTCTTTTTGCTCTTTCCCAGTTTCTTCTTTGTTTTCATGATGTTGATTATGAGGAAGCTTTCTCTAGCCGCCCTCTACAGGAGTTTGATGCATCATATGCAAACTTCTGAGGAGTATGTTTGCTATATGATTCAATGTTGTAGTGATCTATGGATATTTTTCATCCATATTTATCACCACTGGTGATGAGGTATCAGCTCTATCTTCAACAGAGGCAGCAATTGATCTTGGGATAGTTTGACACTGAATTTATTATTGACGTTGTTATGTTGTTAATGTTGATTTAATGGATTTCATCTTTGAGGGACCCTAACAGCACATGGTGACGATGTTGGATTTTTCTTAGCCCTTGTTTTTTACATTACCATGAAGCATCTAATGCATACTTTTGAGGAAGATGCAGGCTCCTTTTCCATAATTGTAATGGTTGGTGAATTGTCTTTATCTTTGTTATTGTTGTAGGTGACATGACATTGGGAGAGACATAAGCTCTTGAGAGAGTTCCAACTTCGGATTTATTTGTGTGATCATGTCTTATTAATTATGTTGATTTCATGGATTCAACCATCTTTCTTGAACGAAAAGTGCTTGTTGTAAGAAGGAAGTTGATGGAATCCTATTTGTTGATGATGAATTTTTTTGATGTGGCTATGAGAAATGATGATTTGTAGTTGTAGATAATGATGATGTGGGTTCTCCATTGCAATTGTAGGAATGATGATGATTGGGCCCTGGCTATTGGAGTTGGGAAGATAAGGACATAGAGTTCTCTTATACAAGTGACATTGCTTTTTTTGAAAAGGAGATTGTGATGGTTTTCGACAAATCTCCTTCCATGGAAGTAGCTTTAGATGTAAAGGATGAAGGAATGGTTTTTTGCAGTGAAGCTGCCACTTTTGGAATAGAGGCACTCATAGGGAAGGAGAATTGATCTTGGAGTTCTCAAGACATTACTATTGTGAAACATGCATGGGTTTTTACTAATGTTGTCATGGAGTATGTCGGGCTCTTGGTGTTATTACAAAGAGGATTAGGGTGCTTATCAAGGTTTAAAATTGCGTAAATAAGCCTCGAGGCTGTGTGACGCATAAGCCTCACGGACGAAGAATTGCGTAACTGCGAATTTAAGTATTATAGCAGATAAATAATAGTAAGAGTTTATGATACAATAAAAACATCTAATTGAGAAGTGAACTTAGTGGAAAACAATAAAATAGATGCAATATATGCATCTTATAGGATAATTCAAAGTACAAAACTACAAATTGAAGTCTATCAAAACTCCCAAAGTATAAATAAGAAAGAACATCTAAAATTCAATCATGTCCCATCATTAAACAGGTCTTCAGTGGAGGCATCTTCATCTCCAATTATATCTATGAATGTCAAATCTTCATCATCTTCAATATTACCCATTTTTCTCTTTCCTATCCAATAAGAATGATTTTTTTGAGGAAATGCCTTTTGCATTAAAAAAAAAAACCTATTACAAACTATTAAGTGATATAAAAACTATCACAATCCTCCTTTAACAAAGAAAGAAAAGGAGGAAACTTATTAAAACTTAGATCATCAAAAAAAAAATCACCAAGTAAAGCAAAGTTAGCCCAAAAATCGGCTAACTTATTACATTTTCTATGAGAAAAATGAAATAAAAAGTTCTCAAAATCTTTCAAGAAAGATAAGTCTTCCGCCATGTCATTATCCATTTTTCCAAATGCTTTATCAACCGAACCTTGCAGATACTTGCCAACATTGTAATTGTCTCCCTCAATTATAATCCCTTTGGCTTCCATCATCCATTCTTGTAGTATCATTTTCAAAGATCGGAAAGCCAAAAGCTCTAGGAAACCACTATCCCAATGAATACATTTGAACTTAAAGGAAAGTAGAATCTTCCCTTGTGATATCTGAAAACTCCAGCAATACCAGCTTCATTAGACTTCACTAACGCAACATCAATATTGACTTTATTCCATTCGAATAGAGGAGGGTGCGAAGATTGAGAATACAACTGAGGAAGCTGGTTAACACCCAGTGGTCCGAAAAGATATTAAATCTTGTTGAAATTAACGTAAAGCTAATTGCATTTAAAGTAATACGAATGATTAGTGTGTTGTTAATTGTATATATTTTAAATGTAATAGCACAT